AAAAAAAAAACAAAAAAAACTTACTTTGTAGCCCAGGCTGGCCTCAAGCTCTTGGCAGTCCTCCTGCCTCAGCCTCCTGAGTCTTGCAGTTACAGGTTTGCATCACACCTGGCTGAGAACTTGTAAGAAAAAAAAAAAGAATCTAATAATAATAAGGTTCTGTGACAGATACTGGTTTATACTTTTCAAAAGGAGTAACCCCAGGAGAGATCCCTACACCTAGACGCGTGAAGAGTCTGGCTGGTACAAAGAAATTTTCGAGGAGTGACCAGTGCCCTAGAATCCAGAGGAGTAGGGAGCCACAGAAATCTGAGTGGTCAGAGGCAGGAACTAGCATGGTGGGAACTAGTGAGATGAGTCCATCAGTGTAAGGTCATGGGAATCACTGGAGTTTTTTGTTTTGTTTTGTTGGTTGGTTTGCCAAAGCAGTTTCAATGAAGTGCTGAGTTTGAAAACTGTATACAGCAGGTTGAGGTGGAGGGCAGTTTGTATAGTTGGGTTTTTCAGATAAGATGTGAAGGAAAAGAAGGGAATAGCAATGCAATAAAGATAGTAGGTGGAGTAGTACCCAGGAGGCTGAAAGGTTGGAGTGCAAGTGTGCTGGTGAGAAAGACCTTGAGGAAGAGGGCAGGAGTGTGCGGCGTGCTGCCCATGCTGTCATCCCTCGATACCGACCTCTTTCCTCTGTCACATTTATGAGTATTTCGGTACTTGATGCGTCGATCTTCTGAATATGATTTCCTTCTCTCTTAGACTGGGGGGCCATGCCAGATCCTTAGGAAGTAGAAGCAGCCTTCTGGAAATAGGAAGCTTACTACCCAGCCTGAAAATGCTTAGCATTTGTATGATGATCAGAGTCTCTCAAAAATGTTTCAAAATTGTCTTAAATTCTTTCAAATGATAAAGCTAAATACATGCTTCTTAGTATTTTTAGCAGAGTTTTATTAAGTTAAACAAATTGCCCCAAATAAGTTCAGATTCACTGATTTTATCCAGTTAGTACAAATGCTTTACCATTTTGTAGTGTTTTGTTTTGTTTTTTTTTTGGTTTTGTTTTGTTTTTTGTTTTTTTTGTGGTGGAACCAGGGATTGAACTCAGGCCCTGGTGCTTGCCAGGGAAGCACTTATTCCACTGAGCCATCTCCCTGGCCCCAAAGGAATTTTTTTTTTGGTTTTTTGTGGAACTGGGGATTGAACTCAGGCCCTAGGCAAGTTTTTATTCTACTGAGCTATTTCCCCAGCCCCTTCTATTTTGTATGGTGAGTGCACTTAGAAAAAGAATACTTGCATTTATTGTTTTCAGAGGAGATCACTGTGGATGCTCAGTACTTACATTTGCTAATAGAGGATGCTTTCTTTTGATCCCGAGCTCGCGCTCAGCTGTCATGGTTTCTATTAAGGGATAATAGCATTAGATTTTCAGTCTTTTGGTTTCATTTATTTCATACTATTGTATCTAATTGTCAATACACTGAAGGCCTAGTAGTTAAGGACAAATGTACCCATGAGGTTTTTTTTTTTTCCTTAACATTTTATTATAGACATTTTTAGACATGCACACAAATGGAGCTCATTTGTGTATGGGGTCTTTGTACTCATCAGTCATCTTGATTATCAACATTCTGTTGTTTTTGTTTCATCTAGTCCTCCCACTTCTCTTGAGCATTTTATTTTATTTTATTTTTTAATTTTATGTAGTTGGTACAGAGTCTCACTGCACAGGTCAAACTCATAGTGATCCTCCTGTTTCAGCCTCCCAAGTGCTGAGATTACAGGTGTGTGCCACCATGTCCAGTTTCAGTGGCATGTGGTATCAGGGATCAAACCCAGGTCCCTGTGCTTGCCAGGCAGGCGCTTAGAGCGCTGAGCTATCTCCTCAGCTCTCTTTTGGGTATTTTAAAACAAATTCTCATATCATTTCACTTATAAATACTCTAGTATGTATTTATCAGATAAGTACTAAAACTTCAAACCCTTATCATAGCCAACAAAATCAAAATAATTTTTTTGTTTTAGGACAGGGTCTATAGGGTCTCACTGTGTATATCGGACTCATAGTGATCCCCTCGTTTACAGCCTCCCAAGTGCTGGGATTACAAGCGTGTGCCACCACGTTGCTGTCTCAGCATGCCCTGGGGGCTGGGCCGGCATGGCAGGCCCAGGGATTGAATTCCTGGCCCCTGCATCTCCCTAAGCAGATGCTTTAATCCACTGAGCTGTTTGTCCAACCCTTAAAATAATTTCTTAATCTCTAATTCTATATGTTATTTTTCTTTTAGTATCTAAAAATGTCTCTTATATAAACAGTTTGTCTCAATCATGATAAAAGAGGGTCAGGCACTCAGTGGGTTTTAAGGGTCTTGCTCCGCAGCTTGGATTCGTAGTGATCCTCCTGTGTCAGTCTCCCCAGTGCTGGGATTTCAGGCATGTTCTACTATGCCTGGTTTCAGTGGCCTTCACAGCATGAGGCTGGTACAGTATGCATTACCAGGCATTGAACCGGGGTCCTTCTGCTTGCCAGGCAGGCACTTAGACCACTGAGCTATATCTCTAGCCCCTAAAACATCTTTATACTTCAGTGCAGAAAACTCATAAAACAGCAGAGCACAAGGTAGAACACTATTTATCTACAGCCCCACCACTGCAGGTAATCTCTCTAGCATCTTGGACATGTCTTTACATACTGTATTTAACAGACAAATCTGTAGGTGGGGAAGAGTTTGGTAGCCAGTCTTGAACCTTCTGCTGCTTCCCCTGGGTACAGGGTACAGCTCTGAGCAAGAACTGACATGCCCACCAGAGAATGGAGCCAGGGAGGCTGGTGTGGGTGAGCTTTCTGCTTGTTCATCATCTGCCTCCACAACATCCCACTGTTGCTGTCTGAATGGCTGTTAACCATTCTAACTAACACCACATAACTAACTACCAGGTGTTGTCGAAAACCTCAGTACAAACTTACCATGCTACCATTTGCATGTTCACCTCTAAAGCACTTTAATATAATTATAAATTAAACATTGCTCTCTTGTGCTCTTTATGCTGTGCATTTGGACAGAGATCAGAACTGCAGCAGGTAAGAGCGGTTGGTGTTTGGTCTAGATGAAATGAAATGCCTGTGATTTTATCACAAGAGCTGCGTGTAGACAGCTTTGCTTCACTGATAGTGACCTGGGAGGAAAACTGAAAATGACATTCTACTTGCAATTTTCTGAGGAAATTCTGAGCAGTTCACATCAAGAGCTAAAGAGATACTCGTAATATGTTTCTCTACAGGACAAAAGAGACTCACTATTTATTAAAAAATTGATTTGCCAGGCATATATACCATGGCAGTTTTCAGAGATGGTTTACTGATTTTTTTGTCAGTTGATGGTTCTTTATACTGTAACAGAAATCACACACCTCTTCTCGAGCATTGTTTCTGCCTTGTGAAGCAAGATATGTAGTAAACTTTTTTTTTTTTTTTTTTTTAATATAAGGATCAAACTCAGGACCTTGCACTTGCCAGGCATGCGTCACGCCACTGAGCTACATCCCTGGCCAACGTAGTTAACTTCTGTACCAGAAACATTTTATGCCTGTGAAGATAAAGGGTTTATGAGTTCATGTGAAAAGACTTTTAGGAACAAAGTGCCATTTTAAAAATAAAAGGATTTTGTCAATTGATTGTGCAATATATTATTTGATAGTTTTTCTTCTGTGACATTATAGAAGCCAAATGAACTATATATGTTCTTCACATAGTGACTGCAGCACTCAGTGATACAAGAGTGCATAGTTACAAACACTATGCAATGCCTGGGAAATGTAGCTGTAGTTCATGGACTTTTCCCCAAGTATTAAATTTTCAAAACTCTTTGAGCAGTTTAAGTCTTAGATTGTTTAAGTATATATTTCTAGGTTGCGGTGTTGAAATGCTTAATTAAAAGAACAGTTTTAAAAATCACATTTTCTCATGTTGTACAGTATTTATATTAGTCTCCAGATTGGACAATTAAAGTAATATTAGCTTGGACATTAACACTTAAAGTGACTTAATTTATTAAGTTTTGAGATAGGTCTTGCTAATTCACTAAGTTGCCCAGGCTGGCTTTGAATTTGCAGTCCTCCTACCTCAGCCTCCCAGAGTGCTGGGATTACCACCATGCCACACTGAACATGGCCTATTTTTAAAGTGTCCTTTTCCCCAGGAGTGACAATTAATTCTTGAATCCTGCCTGCTCTCTCTGACAGGTAGTGATCTCTAGACCTTAAACATTTTGGTAGAAATGGCCTTTGGGAAATCCAATTGTGTGGCCAAGGCCACTTCTCAGGGCTCCTCAGGGCTTCACCCCTGTCTATGTGAATGCCTGCCTGTGACCCTAAGGTAGGGTGGGTGGGTCTGTGGAAGCTGTACTCAGTCAGCCCTGTCAGATAGGTGGGTCTTCTTGGCTCTTTGCTGTGTGAAGATTACTGTTGGATGTAAACATTTTTTCACAGCACCTGCATGTCAGCTTTTGATTTGTAATATGACCAGTGTTAAGTGTCTAGTCACAGAGACTTTTAATACCTGTAGTCCCTAAGCTGTAACCACTTAACCAGTATTTCCTGTTAGGCCAGATCCAGCTCATTAACTCAGAGTTTCTATAGCCAAAAATGAGCTCCGTAGGCTTTCAGAAGAAAAATCTTTTACCATATAAAAATAACTTTTATTATGGTACATATAACATTTAATTTTTGTTTTTAAGATCCAAGGAAACATTCTTGGCCGAAATCTAGGGGAAGTTACTGCCACTTTGTTCTGTATAAGGAAAACAAAGACACCATGGATGCTATTAATGTACTGTCTAAATATTTAAGGTTAGTATCTTCTTCTTCTATATAAAAATCAAAACAATTGAAATGTGTTTTGCTCTGTCCATGCTAATAGAAAAAAGGAACAACAGCATGGATCCCAGGGATAGTTTTCTTAGACAATAGGTGAATTAATTTTTACCCCCTGCCAGTAGTTCCAAGATGAAAAGTCTGGAAGTAAACAATTTACATAGAGTTGAGAGTTACCAGTCCACTCACATTAAAGTAAAAATGACCTTTTTCCCCAAAAGCTGGACTTGGATGTGACTGCGGAAGCTGGCTGTAAGATGGGGCAGTCTGCAGTCTGGACAGACTCAGTGGAGAACCTGAGTGCACGTTCAGGGGAAGCCATTGTGCCATGAGGTCATGTCATGTGCTGGCACCTTCTTAGTTTTGCTTTTTTAGTAGTAATGGCTGCTGGCACCACAACAAATCTGTTGCACTATAGAAATTTAACTCAGCTTAACCTGAGTTAAGTAGTGTATTTACTTGCTAGGACAGCCATAACAAAATACTACAGACTCCAATGGCTGGACCCACAAAAATTAATTGTCTTTTTTTTTTTTTTTTGCGGAACCAGGGATTGAACTCAGGTCCTCGAGTTTGCCAAGCAAGTGCGCCAGGCAAGCACTTATTCTACTGAGCTGTCTCCCCAGCCCCAACAAAAATTAATTTTCTCACATTCTAGAGACTGCATGGCTCAAGACCAAGGTGTTAGCAGCTGCCTTTCTGAAAGCCTTTACCCTTGACTGGCAGATCAGCCCTTCTTGATCTATGCATGGTTGTCTCTCAGTACCCCTCATATTTGTGTCTGCAGATTTTCTCCTTTTTTTAAAAAAATTATTTAGTACAGGGTTTTACTATGTAGATCAGACTTATAGTGATCCTCCAGTTTTTAGCCTCCTCAGCGCCGGGGTTACAGGCATGTGCCACCATGCCTGGACTTGGTCTCTGCCTCAGCGCACCTGAGGACAGGGTTGTTGCGGTGTGCGGTACCAGGGCTTGAGCCCTGGTCCCTGCACTTGCCTAAGCAGGTGCTTAGTCTGCTGAACTATCTCACCGGCTGATTTTCTCCTCTTAAAAGGAGGTCAGGCTGGATTAGAGACACCCACTGAGTCACATTTTTAGCTTCTTCAAAGCCCCTTTTTCAAAAAATGACCACGTCCTGAGGTTCTTTGGGCCAGGGCATCAACATATGAATTTGAAGATATACAATTCTTACTCCTCTTATTTACGAGCTTCCAGGAGAAGCTTGTACCTGCCAGTTCTTCAATTCAAAACTGTTCTGGTCTCAGTGTTAGCATTTTACTTTTTTTTATACAGAATAATAACCATATATTTAAGGAAAATTTATATTGTTATTCTAACTTTAAAAATTGAAGTTGTAATTTTTTTATACCAGGGATTGAACTCAAGACCTTGTGCTTGGCACCACAACAAAGCTTATGCTAGGCAGGAGCTTATGCCACTAAGCTGTAACCTATCTCTGGCCCTGAAGATAGAAAATTTTTTAAAGTACTGTATTTTCTAGAGTGGTGATTTAAAATTTCTCTTATGTAATCTAATGAATTTTTGTAGTACATGAACATGTATCAGTGCATCATTTATATTTCTGAATAGTCCCAGCTTTGAATAGTATCAGTTATTCATAGCTACAAGTGTTCTAAGTCAAGTACAGCTAAGAAGGCAGTTGTTCAAGTGTCTTTAATTTTCTTTCTTTTTCTTTAGAATTTAATTTTGTTTTGAAGAGTAAAAACAAATAGCAGAAACAAAAGACAGAACTGGATAACACCACAATACATATGTTACAGATTTTAGTGTCTTTGATTTTCTAATTTGTATATTAATAAAATTTTCTGTTCTCATTCTGTTGCAATATTAAGTATGTTTGTTTTAAAACTTAAAGTATGAGGGGCTGGTGAGATGGCTCAGTGGTCTAAAACACCTACTTAGAACAAGCTTAGCAAAGCACCGGGACAGCGGTTCAATCCCCAGCACCACATGCCAGCCAGCCCCGCCCCCTGGTGGGCTGAGCTGGCCACACACACACAAGCACACATAAATAAAATAAAATAAGAATGAAAAAAAGAATAATTTTTAAAAAAATAAATAAAAAAAAATAAAACTTAAAGTATGAGATATGTGATTCCTTTAAGGTTTATGACTTCCCATTTTTTTGTTTCTATCTTAACAGAGTCAAGCCAAACATATTCTCTTACATGGGAACCAAAGATAAAAGAGCGATAACAGTCCAAGAGATCGCTGTTCTCAAGTAAGTAAAGAGGACTGTCAGGATGCATGCTGCAGGTGGGGGTGTCACACATGGAGAGGGCTTGAGTGGCATGACGGGGCCTACTTCAATCTCTAGTGCTAGAGAGAGAAAAAAGGAATTGTAGTGTAAATCCTAGCCCTTGTCTTTTTAAGTTCCTGAGTTTACTTTTTGAAATTAATCTCTACCTTTAGACGGTGCCTCTGCCATTCATATATTTGTGTTTAGGTATCTGCATTTTGTTTGTGTTTTGACATGAAGTATGCCAGGCTGACATTTTAACTTGCTGTGTAAAGTATACTGACTTGGTGCTTTTTTTTTTGGTTGGTGTTTTGAGACAGGGTCTCTCATTGTGTAGCCTGTGCTAACCTGGAACTCATGACGATTTTCACCCCAAGTGCTGGGATGGCCTTGCACTTGGGATCTTCCTGTCTTAGCCTCCTGAATATTGGGATTACAGGTGCCTCCCACCCACCACTGCTTCTGGCTTTTTAAAAGATCCTTTTGCTATCAACATGTGGTAGCTCATACCTATAACCATAGAACTCAGAAGGCTGAAGCAGGAGGATTCTTGATCATTGTGAGTTGAGGCCAGCCTGGACTATAGTTCAGGGTCAGTCTGAACTATATATCAAGACTCTGTCTCACAACACAGAAGTTATTTTGTTGGTTTTTGTTTGCTTGTCTGTACTTCCTAGTATTTTAATATCAGATGTGTGGATTTTTATGATAGAGCCCAGAACATAGGGCTTCCTTCTCTTTGGTTCACCCATTAGATGAAAAAAGTAGTATTTGCTTTTTTAAAGAATTATTTATTTATTTATTTATTTATTTGATACAGGGTCTCGCTATGCAGTTCAGAGTCGTAGTGATCCTCCTGCCTCAGCCTCCTGGGTGCTGGGATTACAGGGATGTGTCATTATGCCCGGCAGTATTTGCTTTTGAAGCCCTTATGATTTAATGGGCTCAGTGAGAGAAATGCCGAGATAGAGATAAACTTGAGCAAGTCCAGACGGCAAGTGTGTGATTGAACACAGAGGGCAAGCAAAGCTTTCACAGAATGGGGAGCTTTGATTTAATTAAATCAGGGCTTCCCAGTTTGTGTGCTTTGTCCATCCTGGGCGCTGAACTACATTATTCAACAAAGAGAGTGCTTTGTTGTTGTGGCCTCAGTATAGGAGATTTAGCTGCCCCGTGCTCTCTTTCCCTACTCCTCGTTCAGTCTGATAGTAAAAAATGCCTATGGACATGGTCAGATTCACTCCAGGCCGCACCCCCACTCCTGCTGAAAGACCGCTGGGCTGGATTCTAGGTTGCGATGTTTCCCAGACTGGGTAGTGGAGGCCGTTAGTTCTAAGCCAAGAAAACAGCTTAGGAAAGGGTATCAGGAGTTTAGAACTGTAGCACATTTGGTACCTGGCAGGTACATGAACTTTGTGGGTATGAAGCAAGAAAGAAGAAATGAGGCAACTCGGGTCCTTGAGGGGTTCGGGGGGGTGGGGGGCACGTTGGGGATCTTGGATTTGACTTAAGCAAGGGCATCATATGTAGTGGCTGAATTAAACATTATAGGTAGAGCAAGGACAGCAAACTGGAGACCAGAGCTGTTGCCATGTTGTGTGGGGGAGAACAGGGGTCTAGACCCAGTTATCGTAAGGAGATCAGTGCGATGCGTTCAGCAGCTGTGTGGAGTCAGACAGACGAAATTTCCATTTCACTGTATCCAAGGTGAGGGACGATGAGACCTCGGAGAAGTAGCGGGCAGGAGGGAACGTGGGAGTGGTGCGTTCCTTATCTTGAATGCAGTCATTTTCTCATGAGCTTATACAAAGCATGTACATTTTAAGCAGGGCACAGTGACAAACATCTATAACACTAACATGTGGCTTGGGAGGCTGAGGTAGGAGGATCTTGAGGTCAAGATTAGCCGGGGTCACATAACAACCCTTCCATCTCAGAAAAGCAGAAGCAAACTTGCATATTTTAGATATGTGTGTGTTACTATATATCAGTTACAGTGCAATTAAATATAAACTTGTCTGTTTTGGTCTCTGCAAAAAATAAATATATCTGTAGTATCTTTTCATAAGGAATTTGAGGTGGCATCTCCTCTCTTCTTTATCCCATAGTCCCCCATAATCTGGCTTTTCCTGTTACTTTCTGATTCACTTGAATAATGTAGTGGTTGAGTCCTATATTGCATTCCGATAGATTATTCTAGTCTTTTCCTCCTCGGCCTGGAACCATGGCCTGTAGCCCTAGCAGCACAGTATGAGTCTTCCATCCTTTTCCGTGATGTGCGTGCATGCTGTTGTGTGTGGAGGGAGGAGAGTCGGGTGAAGGTGGTATGTCCTTCCTGGGCTGCCATCTGTGACTCACTTGTGGAGCCATCTGGCTGAGAGTACAGAGCCTTTAAGACCTCTGTGACTTGTTGATCTTGAGTGTCCCCTTGTAAGGGGATGATGTCCCCTTGGCTGCCTTCAGAGCTACCTGGAGTGACTGGACTGGGGATGCTAGTCTCATCTGAGAGTTAACCATTGTAGGGTTCCAAGCTGCATGGGGCTTCTAGGAGGTGGGGCTTAGCTGGAGGCAGGGGCCATGGGGTGTGACCTTGGGGACTGTATCTGGTCCCTAGCCGTTTTTTCTCTGGTTCTTGCCCTGTCCTCTCCTTGTTGGCTGCTCTGAGTGGCTTTGTTCCACCATGCCCTCTGATGTGATCCTTTGCCTTACCTCAGGCCAGTGGAGCCAAAGACCATTGACTGCAGCCTCTGAATCTATAAGCTGAAATAAACTGCTCTTCCTTTAAGCTGCCTCTATCCCAGGTATTTTGTCACAGTGAAACAAAGCTGACTGATAAGAGACTGTAGATTTGAAAGAGCACCTCTGAGAATGGCCCATGGGCTTACCAGAAACCCAGGAGAATGGGGAGAAGGAGAGAATGGTTCTACGGCTTTGGCTTTCCCAGACTCTGGGTATGAGACTCAAGGTTCTTACCTTCTCCTCATTGTTGTCATTGCTGTTGCTATTGTCATTTTGAGACAGCATCTTGCTATGTAATTCAGACTGGCCCTGAATTCATCATTGTAGCCATTGCCTTCTCTTTTAGATCTAAAATATTATAGTGAATCCCTGTGATTTCTAGTTAGCTAAATAAGATTTTCTGCCTCAATTTAAAATTGTTTTATATTCATAAAATAAATAAATAAATAGAGAATACAAGGCTGAAATGAACATGGCAGGTCATGCCTGTAATCCCAGCTAGTTGGTAGGCAGAGGCAGGAGGGTCACAAGTTTGAGGCTACCTGGATATTTTTGGCAAGACTCTTATCTTAAAATAAATTTATAAAGGGCTGGAGATACAGCTTGGTGGTAGAGCACTTGCCTAGGCTGTGTGATGCCTGGGATCAGCCCCCTACAGCCCACACACGAATAAGCATCGCAGTGAAATTACTGACCAGAATGAAATATGAAGGGCTAGTGGTTCTGATGGCCGCCAGACCTCCTTGCTCTCCGGAAAGGTGTCCCAGTTACTATCTGTAGTGTCATTCCTCAGAGTATTTCCCAGCCATTGTCAGAAAGAGAAAAACTTCCTGGCACCAAAAAGAAAAGAAAAGGCAGGAAAGAAAGAAAATCCTTTGCTAACTTGAGGTCAGAAAACAGCATCTTATCCCGTTTTATGGTGTGAGCTATGAATATTGGAGGCCAGTCGGCAGGTGTCCTACTTGGTCAGGAGACTGCTCTGCCTCCTGGATGCTTGCTGCTTTCCCGTTTTCCTGTTGACTCTGAGAAGCTGTGCTGGACACCCAAGTGCTGGCCTGTTGAAAGCACACGGCGCTTATCTCACGGATGCAGGCTGCACCCTTAGCTTGCTAAATGAGTCCTTACAGCCAGGCCAGCTGCCTTTCCCGTGAGAACAGGGGCAACAGGACAGACCCACTCGGCCCTGCAAGGGGTTTCATGACTGCCGAGTTGATCAGTCTGGGGATAAGCAGCAGTTCTTAGAAACTTCAACAGGATCTCAAGGAGGAACAGTCTTATTCAGAATGATTTGTTTCTTTTCCTGTCTGTTCCTTTCTGAGCCTGGGCCAGTATTTCCCTGGCTTCCTTAATAAAGCGTTTGTGCCATGTGTTAGTTAGGTTGGCTCCTAGTGTTTCCAAGTGAGAGTGTCATGTTCTCTAGTCATTTAAATTCCTGTGCATTTCCAACTAGAGAGCTTGCTTGGTCTAGGATCCTCAGAATTAAAACCGAACAGTACTGTGGAGGCAGTGTCAGCTCCATCCTGTATTTCCCCAAGGAACCCATTACCTTCCGGAACTAATCGTGGGGCTAGGGTTTTGCGGTGGGGTCGGACTCGGAAATGATGACTGTTATACACAAGAAAGATAACATTATGCAGCTGTAAAACTTGAAAACACTATACTGGAAGTTAGGCATAAAAGGCCACACACAGTGTGAGTCCATATTTGAATTGTCCAACATGGAACACTACAGACAGTAGATTAGTCACTGCCAGTGGCCACAGAGGGAGTGGAAGAGCCTGGGAGGGACTGGCCTGTTGGTGACTTTCTTTTTCAGGTGATGTAAGTGTTTTGGGCTGAGATGGTGGTGACAGTTACACATTGTGAGTGTACTAAGAACCTCTGGTATACATATGCTGTAGTGCTTAAAATGATTGGTTTCATGTCAGATTTGGCGCAAAGAAAAGAACAGAGTTGTCAGGCACTTCCCCAGTACTCAGAAAGCAGTGACCAGGACAGCTTCATGCTGAGTTAGACTCTTTTTGCTTTGAATTATTCTGTCAGTTCTAACAGCAGCATTTCTGACCAAGAGGAGTCCTGTCCTGGTCCTTACTCAGTCCGGACCCACCCTGTGATTTCTGAGGCCTGTGGGATGTAGTTCCTGGATGTTGCTGTGCTCAATGAGTTTGAGTGCAGCTGCGTGGGAGACGGCGCTGAATGCTGCCTGGCTTCTGAGGTGACCGCTGCAGTTGCACAGAAGGCTCTGCTTGTCCCGGGAGATGCTGCCCTCCTGTGGGGTAAGGGGCCCTGCATCTGGGGCGCACTCCAGTGGTTCAGTACGTACACGTCTCCCCTGTGTGGGAGGTGGGGGGTGTCATAAATATACAGAGAGAAGTGCAGAGGAAACCCTTAGTCTTGGTAAATCCAGGTCAGAGGTGTAAAGCTGTTCAGTATTTATGGTTTGCTTTTCTCTAATTTTGAATTTTTTCATCAAATTGGAAAAGGCTTCTAAATACAGTAGTAAAACATAAATTCATAAAATGGGACATGGTATTACAAAATGTGATACAGGCGGCTGTCCTATATGCATATACTAGGGCTGGGCACAATGGCACATGCCTGTAACCCCAGCTACGTGGGAGGCTGAGACAGGAGGACCACAAGCGCAAAGCTAAGCAACTTAGCAAGACTCCATCGCAAATAAAATGAACAAAAGCCTGGGGTTGTGTGTCGCTCAGGGTCCCTGGGTTCAGTCCCCAGTACTGTTTAAAAAATTAATAATCCACTGGGGACAACCGGTTTGGGCCCCACCTTCTGTCCCTCTCAGACAGAAGCTTTCCTTCCCTCAATAAATATTCTGCTCTTAACCTCCCCCCAAAAAAAAATTAATAATACATCTGAACTGTAGCCAACAGGTGAATAGGTCAGTCCCATATGTAGACAGGTTCAAGCCCACTCATAGGAGGTATTTGAATAAATGCCAATATCAAATAAATAAATATATATTTATTCTCTTCCTCAACCAACCCCTTGTACAGAGGATAGAACCTAGAGCCATAACACTGTGCTTTATTCAAAGCCTCTTTTCTTTTTCCAGACAGGGTTGGTAGCCTCAAATTTATAGTCCTCCTTCTTCCTCATGTAGCTAAGAATAATAACAAAATGTCAAGTAACTAGGATTACACAAGTATGCTGTCCAAGTTTAAGATACAGAATTTTAATAGACTGGCAAAGCTCAAAAAGATTTTCCAGGTATGGTAGTACACACCTGTAATCATAGCACTTGGGTGGCTGAGGCAGGAGGATCACCATAAGTTCCAGGCCAGCCTGGACTGCATGGTGAGACCCTGTCTCAAGGAAAAAAAAAAAGGACTTGTACTGGGTGTGGTGGCACACAGCAGTGGTCCCAACATTTGGGAAGCTAGGTCAGGAGGAATACCTTGAGTTCAAGGTTAGCCAGGGGTGGGTAGTGCATTTGAGGCCATCCTGAGCTACATAGTAAGACTGTCTCAAAAAAGCTAAAAAAAAAAAAAAAAAGATTTATGCTACCTATCCTGTGGGTGTAAGTGCATTCCTGTACCTGTATTACTATAAAATGTGTGAGGCTGGGTGTTTATAAGTAAAAGAGGTGGATTCAGCTCAAGGCTCAGCACATACGGGGCACGGCACTGGCATCACATGGCTCTGAGAGCTTCTCAACAGCCGGCTGTGGGTGGAACACACACAAGAGGGAGCAAGCAAACACGTGTCAGGTCCTGAGCCGCCGGCGGCCAGCCCAGCCCACTCCAGGTACTGCCTCAGTCCCTCCTGAGGACTCGCTCACCTCCCAGCGTGGCAGGCTGAGGACCAGGCTTCCAGTTGGGGACCTTGGGGTGGTTTTTGGCCATATCCAGCTTAGCAAGAGGAGGTTGGCCTGGAGCGAGGCAGTGGGTTCCGAAGTGTTAAGGTTTGGCATAAATCTGTGTAGTCTGCACAAAGAGAAGAGTTAAACTGAATCCACCCCTTATGGGGGTGTATCCTACACATACAGCTGGAAAAGTGAGAAATATATATAGGGATATTTGTTAGAGAATTGTTTGTAAATGTAAAAGATTAGGGGGCAGTTTAAGCATCCATTAAGGGAGACAAGTCAGCTAGGCATGGTGGTACCCCTCTGTAATCACAGGTAGGGAGCTGAGGTGGAAAAATCACAAGTTCATGATCAGCCAGGGCAGTGAGTGACTGTCGCAGAAGAAAAAAAAAAATCTTTTAAAGGGTGGGATGTAGCTGAGCTATGTCTCTTGCCTAGGATGGGGGGCCTCTGGGTCAAACCCTCAGTGCTGAAAACAGAGCAGGCCATTGAGATCAGGGCAGGCACATCCGTACCGTGCACAGCTGCTCTTGCCACTGTACCAGGGAGAGGCCAGTTCCTCAGTGCTGTGTGGAAAGGGCAGAGTGCTGAAGCGGGGTGAGGAGGGCTATGGTGCACGTGAACCAGACCCGGGCCTGCTCACTGACCTGCATACCACCTCTTTCAATTTTTTTTGTTTTTTTTTCTTTTTCAAATTTGAGAGTCTTGCTAAGTTTCTGAGTGAACTAGGTTCACACTTGGAATCCTCCTCCCTCAGCCTCTCAGAGTACTGGTGTTATAAGCGTGTGCTGTGACAACCAGCTTCTGTTCTTCAACTAAAGCAAAAGTGCTAAACAATTAATAATGTGGTAGAATTTGCTTTTTGAAAGAGGACGGATTCAATCCCTGGTACCGGGAAAAAAAAAAAAAAAAAAAAAAAGAGGACTTGGTTGCTTGTTAAGTGACTGTGTTCGTCTTAATGAATTGGTAAGTTATACATCTATGAAATGTATATCTCTCTGTATATAAAACACAGATGAGCCTTACAAGAAAGTCTAAGCAGGAGGAGACTCATTTTTCTGTGTACAGAAAGTGCTTTGGGAGAGGCATAAGCTGTTACTATCACCTGCAAATGGGAGGGCCTAGGGTTCGAGGGAAAGGGCTTTCAGTGTCATGTCTGTTTTTATACATAAATTTTGTATTGAAGAAGGTAAGGTATACTTTTTCAAAACTTTGTAATGCCCTAGGAAACAAAAGCAGCAGGATACAGATATATAGATACAGAGGTATAGATACATAACATATCTATCATGTTTATAAAAAGAATGGGAGGAAATAGGGTTAGATTTAACCTATTTCTCTTTTTTATTTATGTGTTTGATACAGGGTCTCACTATGCAGCTTGGACTCATAGGGTGATCCTCCTGTTTTCACCCTGCCCAGCACTAGGGTTAGAGGCGTGCATCACCATGCTCCCAGTCTCAGTGGCAAGCTCAGTGTGCCTGGAGGCAGGGCCCATGTTACATGTGGTGCAGGGGATGGAACCCAGCCTAAGCAGGCACTTAGTCCGCTGAGCTATCTCACCGGTTAAATCTCACCAGATTTAACCAATTTCTCTTGAAGAGATGAACCTATGAATTTTCTCTCTACATTTTTGTATTTTCCAGGTTTTCTATAATGGGACCTGCTATAGTTTGTGTCCAGATGTGCCCCTGAAGCCTCTTGCACTCATGGTTCGGGCTTCTAGAGTTTTTGGTTGATTTATGGTCCAAAGCTGGGATTATGGGTGTGAGTGCTTTGCCTGCCCTAAGGTGGTTCACCTGCATGCAATGTAAGGGAGGGAAAAAGACTTACCCTCTGCTGCTCCTCCCCTTTTGCTCTTTGCTGTTTTTACAGTTTTCTTCCATGAACTTTTGCCCTCTGCCTTGGAGCCAGTGAATATGGACTCAAACTGACACAAACCTTTTCTTTAGTTCTGGGCATTAGGTATTTTGTCTCAGCAGTGAGAGAAAAGTAACCAAGACAGGTTCACAATATTTTTCTGTTAGTCTGGGACTAACCCTTTTCTTAGCGCATAATATAATTCTTTTTGTTATGCAAGATTGTTCTCTGCCACTATCTCTTTCTCTCATCCCGAGATAGAATATTCCACAGAGGCCATTAATTCTGTTATTCATCAGTGTTGAAGGGGATTTGAGGATGTGAAGTGGGGCGCAGGCCACTGCATCATGGTCCAGGCAGCCACTGCAGTGGGGGAACATTCACGGGTAGGAAATGTACCCAGCTCTTGTGGCTAGGGCACTGCTGTGCCGTAGTAATGTTCTCTGCAGGAAGATGGCCTAAACCATTTTGACAATATCTCACGATCCTCTCCCTCTCTTTTTATCTTTTTAAAGAATATCTGCACAGAGACTTGCCCACCTGAATAAGTGCTTGATGAACTTTAAGCTAGGAAATTTCAGCTATCAGAAAAACCCTCTGAAATTGGGAGAGCTCCAAGGAAATCACTTCACTGTAGTTCTCAGGTAAAGAATCACAGGTGGGAATGCAGAGCCTGAGGTCTCTGGTTAGATCACCTGATAGGAGTTGTTAATCAGATGCAGCTTAGCAGGAAGGTAGAGCAGTGCCAAAAGAGGTGGGAGGGCAAAATACTGCGGTAGTGTTTGCACTAACCGATAGTCCCTGCTAAACACCAGAAAAGCACCATCTTCAAACCCTGTTAGGAGACAGAGTGGCTGTGATTAAATGAGCTACCTAAAATAGGCAGATTCACAGGAAGAGGAGTGACGGTTACTTTGGGCAGGGAGCGGTGACTGGAGGGTTTAAGTTTGAGAAGTTACAAAAGTTCAAGTAGTAACAGTGAAGCTCGTATTGCATTATGAATATACTTAATGCCCTGGATTATATACTGAAAAACAGCTGAAACGATAAGGTTACCGTATTTTAACAACTAACAAAGAGCCCCTATGAGAGAAAGCTTCAGAGGAGAAAAGACTGAAGCAACACCATAGCTCTGTGGCTTCACAGAAGCCACATGATAGTTCTTTGGGGTGCACATTCCCAAAAGTGTTTGGCTGTAATATTTTTTCTCTGGATAATTTGGATGCCTGCAGAAATATAACCGGAACTGATGACCAAGTCCAGCAAGCTATGAACTCTCTGAAGGACATTGGATTTATTAACTACTACGGAATGCAAAGATTTGGAACAACAGCTGTCCCTACATACCAAGTTGGAAGGTTAGTATTCAATTTCGTAAAGTATTCTTAGATTCTTTCTTATTTATGGCAGACCATCCACTGATCCATGGCTGCTTTTTGAGTTTTGTTGTATTTTAAGATAATGCATGTAGAGAGGAGAAATCACAGTCCAAAAGATTATGACCTAGAGGATAATTTTCTCCCACCACTTATAACCTAAGGTTTTGTTTTGTTTTGTTTTGTTTTTTTGTACTGGGAATTGAACTCAGGCCCTTCTGCTTGCCAGGCAGGTGCTTTTGTTTTTATTTTTTAACAGATAAGTCAGGGCTCAGAAAGTGGGTAACTCGGTACCAGAGTAGCTAGATGGAGACAGTATTCTTTATGGTCTCTGCTGACAGGTGATTTCTAGTTATTGAACTTTGATCTTTCCATCTCCTACACTTTCAAGGAAATGGCAGGGGATAAAATTAGCAAAGTGGAACTTAATTTAGGCACTCTGGAAAGTCCCTGTAGGGTAATGTAGGTTGGAAATCCCAAGCAGTAGTCTTTGAGCCATAAAGCCCACACATGTCTGTGAGTTATTGTGCCCATGAGTGGGAGTGGTGGCCACTGCAGGGTGCATGTAGTCCTTGCCTGTGTCTCGGGCCTTCATTTTAGCAAGGTGGAAATTAGGCTCAGGGAGGCCTGTCCAAGCACAATGTTGCTCAGCTGGAGTTCTGGAAATAAAGTCTTACTGACTTGCAGTTTGTTTTATTTTTAGCACCTAGCTATGTAAACTTGAATTCACTTTTGTGACCCAGCGAATAACAAAATGATAAATCCTGTCATGTATTTTCTCTACCTCTTGAAAGTGGTGCTGTGAAGTATAAAAGTGCAGGCAGGAGAATTAGATCTGCGTTCTTCGCCTGAAGTTACTCAGATTAATACAATTTACTACTTGAATTAATAGAGGGAATACCAGCCTCATGGTGGTGAAAAGGAAGTGAGATTGGGGCTTTGCAGCACCTGTTTCAATGCCTATCACATAGCAAGTGCTCAAATAAATGGAATGTAATATTTAAAAATCAAAGCAGTATGCAGGAGGATTGCTTGAGCAGGAGTTTTGGGTCAGACTGAGCAACATAGACCGTCTCTTAAATTGCAAATACAAACATACATAACATACATACGTAAAGTATATTAGCTGAAGGGAGAAAGAAAATGCCAAGAAGAGATACCTATAATAACTAATAATAGTAGAAAAATAGGTATTTTTTTAAATTTCTTTTTCTTCTTTTGATACAGAGTCTCACTACACAGTTCAGACTCGTAGTAATCCTCCTGTCTCAACCTCCCAGTGCTGGGATTACAGGCATGTGCTACTATGCCTGGTTTCAGAGCTGGCATGGAATGCTTAGGATTCTGGGGCTGGCCAGCATGCAGTACCAGGCATTGAACTTGGGTCCTTGCGCTTGCCAGGCAAGTGCTTAGCCTGCTGAGCTATGTCCCCAGCCCTCAAAGTAAAATTTTAAAAGGTCTGGGGGTGCACCTTAGTGGCAGATCACTTGCCTGGTACTTGTGAGGCCTTGAGTTCCATCCCGCACACCATTAGGAGAGGGGCAGCTAATAACATAAATAGCTAGCTAAAATGATTCTACAGTTTTCCAGAAACAAAAATTGTATAACCTGCCCAAAGGTCAGTACAAAGTCAGTTCAAAATACAGAACAGACATTCCCAGAATGTACTATTCCCTGCCTTTAAAGATGTCAGCTCAATCCCTGTAGGACCTCCTGAGGGAAAGAACAAGTCTGTAAAGGAGCACAGTGCTGTGCTTCTGTAATCCCAGCACTCTAGGAAGCTAAGGCAAGAGGATCACAAGTTCAAGTCCAGATGCGACAATTTAGAGACTTTTTCTAAAAGAGAAAAGATGTGGGACATACTAAGAGAGATAGTTCAATACAAGGACCATGGGTTCAGTCTGCATTAAAGAAAAGGAAAAAGATAACTTCAATACAGGATATATAAAGATTTGTTGCACTCCACAACAAAAGGACAACCCATTCTAAAACTGGGGACAGGACCTAGGTAAATGGCCAGAAAGCACACAGAAAGGAGATCATTGCAGAAACGCAAGTCCACCACGGTGAGAGGCCACCTCATGCCCGCTGGAATAGCTAAAATAAAACAAATGATAGGTGTTGGCGAAGATGTGGAGAAACTGGAACTCATACATTGCAGATATGGTGCAGCTGTTCTGGCAAACGTCTCAGTTCATTCCTTAAAAGGTTAGGTATCGAGTTACCACCTGACCTAGAAATTGCATTCTGAGCTATATACTGAAAGAGCCTAAAACTTTGCAAGCACACAAAAATGTACACTCAGAAAGTAGAAGTAGCCCAAGCCTATCAGTTAATGAATGGGTAAGCAAAATGTCATGTACGCAGAGAGGAATGACATTCCCTTTCTGTATGAAAGCATTCAGTGAAGTCACAAAAGCCTCCACAGTGAAAGAGCCAAAATGGGCAAGTCTTCAGAAACCAGTGGCAGGCCAATAGAGTGTGACACTAATGGCTTAGGATATTCTCGCCTGGTGTAGTAGCATATGCCTGTAAGCCCAGCTACTTGGAGGCTGAGGGAGGAGGATGGCAAGCCTCCAAAACTTCTAGAGCCAGGAGTGATGGTAGTTGTCATCCTGGCGTTCAGGAGGCTCATGCAGGAGGATCACCGCGGATTGGAGCCCAGTCTGGGCTGTATAACAAGATGTCTCAAAACAAAGAAATAAACTTGTACAAGTTTTTGTTTCTGTTTTCTTCTACATTATATGTGTGACAAAGATCTGTATCTACAGTATGAAAAGAACTACAGATTTAACAAAAGTTAAAACTAATGTAGAAATGGCCAGGGGACTCTAGTAGACCTTTCTCTGAAGAGTCATAAAAGGCCAGCTAACACATGAAAAGAAGCATACCACCACTAGGCCTTAGGGAGGCAACATGCCACCTGGTGAGGACGGCTGGTGCAAAGCCAAGTAAGCGTCGGTGAGGATGTGTCCAGTGGAGGCCTTGTCCACAGCTGGTAGAAATGTGCAATGCTGTTCCTCAGAAACCTAAATGAAACAGTGTATGTGACGGTAATTTGATCTAGCATTCCACTTAGAGTAGGGCTGTGGCATCCCCCAGACAATGGAAAGCAGGAATAAACTCAGATGTGTATTCTCATGTTTGTGATATTATGTGGGTATCATTATTCACGGGAACTGAAAGGTAGAGGCAGCCCAAATGCCCATCAACAGATGAATAAACAAAATACAGTATATAAAAGTAGTGGAATATAATTCAGCCTTTAAAGAAAGAATTTTTAGCTGGGCAAGGTAGCACACAGTAATTCCAGCACTCTGGAGATGGAGGCAGGAGGATTACTATGAGTTCCAGGCCAGCCTGAACTACATAAGAAGACCCTATTTCCAAGAAAAAAAAAAAAGGATTCTTACAGATACTACAGTGTAGATATACCTTGAAAACTAACTGACATGAGCCAGTCACAAAAGGACGAATAGTATGCAGTTCCCATCATGTGAGTTCCCAAAGAAGTGGAACATGGGAAGGAGGATGGCTACTGCCAGGGCTGGTGTGGAGAGATGAGTCAAGGGTTCTCACTGAGGGTACAGTTTCAGTTAGGTGAAGTAAAATGTTCTGGGGATGGATTGTGCTGACCATTATATAGGAGCCTGTCGATACAGTCTGGTGGGGGAATCAAATACTTAACAGTTGCTAAAGTAAATTGTGTGTATATTTGTACCATAGTAAGATCAGGTGGGAGAAGGGAAGATAAAATAAGAAAAATGCAAAGCCTCTTGGTGTGGGTGAGCTGTGGTGAGCCAACATGTCCATGTCCATAGGGCCGTGGGTGCCAGGCCCTCAGAGCGCATGGCTGTGAGGAGTCTGGCAGGTGAGAAACCTGGTCTTACCAGATGCTGGCGGTTTTTTTAATTTTGTTTTTGCTTTTTGAGACAGGGTCTCATGGTCTACTTGCTTTGTAGCCCAGGCTGACCTTAGACTTGTGATCTTTGTGCCTTCGCCTCCCATTTACTTGGCAGAGTTTTTCTATAAAGGTCTGGATAATAAATTAGGCCGATGGGTCTGAGTATTTGTTCATCAGTTCTTTTTTTTTTTTTTTTTTTGCGGTATCAGGGATTGAACTCAGGACCCTGTGTTTGCCAGGCAAGCACTTACTCTGCTACTCTACTGAGCTATCTCCCCAGGCCCTGTTCATCAGTGCTGATGTTGCAGCATGAAAACAGCCATGGACAGCATGCAGCTGAATCAGGACAGCTGTTTTCCAGTACTGTTGTTCACAAATCCAGGCATGGTAGCCGTGTCCATAATCCCAGCACTGGGAAGGCTGATGACAAAGGATCACGGAGTTTGAGGCCAACCTAAACTACATAGTGAGTTCAAGTCCAGCCTGAGCCACATAACAAGACCCTGTACCAAAGAAAACGGAGGGCCTGGTTTCGGAGCTGACATGGCATGCTTAGGGTTCTGGGGCCGGCATGGCATGCGGTACTGGGAATTGAACTTGGGTCCTTGTGCTTGCCAGGCAGGCACTTAGACTGCTGAGCTATGTCCCCAGCCCTCAAAGTAAAATTTTGAAAGGTTTGGAGGTATACCTTCTAAAACTGGGGACAGGACATTGGTAAATGGCCAGAAAGCACACAAAAAGCTGCTGTGAAACAGCTGATGATCACCAGATATGACCTGCAAACCCATAATTTTTACAGTGCATAGAACATACGTAATAAGCTTTGTGCCCATGTTAGGCAGACCCATGCCTAGTGCTGAGTAAGTGCTGCACTCCTGAGAGATGGTGCAAGGTGCCTAGCCCCCTGAGGGCTGTGTCACTTAGGTGAAGATGTACAGCCTTTCTAATGAGGCTGGCTCTGGGACCAATAGGGGCCAACAATGGGAAATGTTTGACTGTAAGTATAGTACCGGAGCAGAAATTATTTATATCTGCATCATTAATAGGCATCTAATAGTATCACGGGTAATTTAATGTCCAAAACTATCGCATATGTGAACTTAGACATGAAAATTAAAAATGACAATTAACTGGAAAAATAAAAATTAATGGAAGAGTATTTTTGTATGCTCTTTATAGGGAAGCGTGACTGCAAGACTAAAATTCCTTTTTAAAAAATTTTTTGAGACAGTGTCTCACTGTGTAGTACAGGTTGGCCTTCAATTAGCTATGTAGCCCAGGCTGACCTTGAACTCACAGTGATCCTCCTGCCTCAGCTTCCCAAATGCCTAGGATTACAGGCATGAGGCACCATGCCCAGCTTCAAAACTAAAATTCTTAAAGTAAAAATTTTCATACATACTGAAAATACAAATTCTGCAGGATAAAATATAGTATAGAATGAGGAAAAATTAGATATACTTGTAGGTGTGCCAGACTAGAAAAATATACTGTATTGACATTGTTTTATTTCTTAGAGGTTGGATAATAGGAAAGCTTTCTCCTGTGCTATTTAATTTGTAACAAGAGGTGCCCCAAAATAAATATATTTCCATTTTGACAAGAATAATAATTTTATTTATTCTATTTGCCTAGGTAGGAAGTGTTTAACTTAGAGAAATATTTTGTGCAATCTCAAATAGGTTTTGGCACTTAACGAAGACTTAACTGAGCTAGGGAGGTAACTCATTGGTAGAGCACTTGCCCAACATGCCCGAGGCCCGGGCTCAATCCTTTGTACCACCGCCACCACCAGAAAAACCTTTATGGGGCTGGTGAGATGGCTCAGTGGTCTAAAGCACCTACTTAGAACAAGCTTAGCAAAGCACAGGGACC